CTCTCTCTCTCCCTCCCTCCCTCCCTCCCTCCTTCCTCCCCCTTTGACATTGTACCACCATCCCAACCACATCTGTTCTCTGACCACCTTATTTTTCCAGTTTTAAACTTAGAAAACTCCTTTAGGGCTGAGGGGAATAAGGCAGAAATCACCTGATCACTTACAATGTTAAGTAAACACATTGTATGCTGAACTTTAACACAGAGGCTCTTCCAGAGCTCAGTTCCCTCATGACCACCCTGGTAGCTTCAGCAACCTTATTCTCATAGGGACAGATGGAGACATATGACATGCGCTGCTTCTGGGAGACAGGAGTGTACCTTGGGACCAGAAGCATTTGAGGCCTATCTTCAAAATGCTTGGGCTTCCAGGACTTAAACATGGTGCTTCCTTGCTGTTCGTTTTACCAAGCGTTTTTTTCCTTGTTGGTTAAAACTAGATCACTAGCACATTGAGTTCGGTCATTTCCTCTGCTTTCCAGGGAAGGATTTCAGTAGAAGCCCTTCCACTTTTGTTGACTTCATAACCTCTAGGGAACACCAGCTTCCAGCACACAGAAACTTCCAGAATCCAGAGCAGCACTCCTTCCCCCCGCCTTCAACAAAGCACCTCTCTGTAATTCTATTATAACATCCACATCAGATGTCTGGTTTCCTTACCAAGAAAACATAACATAGAGCCTCCGAGTCTAAAAGAATGTGTCACTTGTAAGCAGAAGAAAATGAGATCCAACTGCAAAGTGGAGGAGGTTTTGTCAGCTACTTGTTACCCCTAGAACTTTCCAAATGGAAAGAGAAGACCAAGTCAGGGAAGTAGGTAATTTATAAGATGAGTCAGGGTGAGAGATGCTCACTGGTAGAGAAACTAGAGGCCTCCCTTGGTAACTCTGGCCACTCCTGAAGCTCCAACCCCAGCCTGTGCTCTGAGGATCTTTCCAGCTCAGATTCATGTTTTCTACTTACTACAAAATAAGCTAAAAGACTAGGTATGGTGGCACATGTCTATAATACCAGTGCTTAGGAGGCTGGAAACAGGAGAATTGCTATGAGTCTTATCTGTGTAGTGAGGCCCTGTAGATCTGTACTAAATTAAAAAAAAAAAAAAAAGCTAAGATTGGACTATTAGAAATGTGTCAGACCAGGCATGGTGGTACATACCATTAACCCCAGCACATGGGAGACTAAGGCAGAAGGATCACCTGGAATTTCAACCCAGATCAGAATACATAATTCAAAACCACCCTGAACTACATAGCAAAGCGCTCTCGCTCTCTCTCTCTCTCTCTCTCTCTCTCTCTCTTTTTCAGAACCAATGATTGAACTCAGGCCCTTGCACTTGCCAGGCAAGCACTTATTCTACTGAGCTATCTTCCCAGCCCTGCAAGGCTTTCTTTAAAGAGAGTGGTTGGGGGCTGGAGAGATGGCTCAGTGGTCTAAAGCACCTACTTGGAACAAACTTGGCAAAGCAAAGGGACCGCGGTTCGATCCCCCAGCACCACATGCCAGCCAGCCCCGCCCCCTGGTGGGCTGAGCTGGCGACACACACACATACACACACACACATAAATAAATGTAAAAAAAAAAAATTAAAAATAAAAAATAAAAAGAGTGGTTGGGGTGTAGCTCAATGGTAGACCCCTTTCCTAGAATGCATAGGGCCAAAATCTTCAACAGCATTGTGCACATGCATGCACACACGTGTGCACACACACACAGGAGGAGAGTAGGAGTGAGGCATTATGGTGCTTTCCTGTAATCTCAGAATTCTGGGAGGTTGAGGCAGGAGCATTGCAAGTTCAAGTCCAGCCTAAAACAACATAGCAAGATCTTGTCTCAAAGAAGTCCAGGGAAGTAGCTTATTTATAGGCCTTAGGTTCAGTCCCCAGAAACGGGAAGCAGGAGAGGAGAAAAATGAGAAAGGGTGAAATCAAAATCAGCTTAAAATCAACAAATGGATGCTAGAGAAAATCATTTTCATACTAATTTGTAGCTCTGCCTTTGTTCCCAAAGAGAGTCTCAACCTAATTTGTTTAAAGCCAGGTGTGATACCACACCTGCATAATCCCAGCACTTAAGAGGCTGAGGCAAGAGGATTGCCATGAGTTCAAAACCAGCCTGAACTATATAGTGAGACCCTGTCTCACAAAACGCCTTCTGACTTGAAGGTGACTCACAGGGGAGACAGCTGGAATGACTGCAGATAAATCCTAAAATAGGGACTGAAACCTGGGAATGTAGACTTCTGCCTAGCACATGTGAAGCCCTGATTTTGATCCTCAGCACTGGAAAACAAATAGGGACTGAAGCAAGTTTGGTAGACATCAAGGAGCAAGCTAGTGCTGCTGTTGTTGTGAGTTCACATCTACATTCAGAACCATCAGCTCTACAGGAATATGGGCAGGGCTATTCATGTACCAGTTTGGATGGATACCTTTTTCAGCTTCTGAATACTACATTCATTTGATTGACATGTATACTGTCAATTCTGCATAAATTCAGACTCCATTAAATTACTCCTACAGGCCAGGGAGATGACTCAGTAGAATAAGCACTTGCCAAGGGCCTGAGTTCAATCCCCAGTTCTGCAAAAAAATAAATAAATAAATTACCCCTACAGCCTTTGTGACCCCAGTACATTGACAGTCATATCAAGCAGCTGCTGAGCAGATACTGGAGACTCAACAGTGAGCAAACAGCCAGTCTCTACCTCCAGAAACGTATGTGCTGTAAATAGAACCAAAGCAAATGGAGAGTGTTGAAAAGAGTTCTACTCCAGAGAGAGGAGACCATTCTGAAGACACAGATTCTGATGGAGACCTGAATTAAAGAGAGAAACTGAGACACACAGGCAGAGAAAGGAACATTTGTTGCAGGGGTTTTTTGTTTGGTTTTTGGCAGAACTGAGGATTGAACTCAGGCCCTTGTGCTTGCCAAGGAAGCGCTTATTCTACTGAGCCATCTCCCCAGCCCCAAAACACACATGTACCACCCAGGAATCTATGTTACAGGTTTTAAAGCTAAAACTGGGGCTTGTGTGTTAGCTCAGTTATTTAAAGCTCCTGCTTGGGCAAACCTAGTCAGGTGCAGGAAACCGTGGTTGGATCCCCAGCTCCACATGTTGCACCAGACTGGCCCTTAAGGCAGCCTAAGCCAGTCAAAAATAAGTAAATTAATTAAATAAGTAAAGTTAAAACTATGAAAAGACTATACCTAAACACTTCTAGGTTCAGAAAGGATCCTGTGATAGAATTTGAAGATATCAGCAGGGCAGTAGGCTCAAGTGGCCCACTGAGAATGCCCACATCTAAAGAGGACGACAAAGACTAGAGTCCCAGGGCAGTGCCAGATCCAAGCCTGTAGGGACTATCAGGACTTAGAGGGAATAAAGAGGGCCTACTGTCCTGGACTCTTGCCCCCCACAGGCACACCCCCATCCATCCCATTGTGGTCCTGTGAGCCACCCTCTTTGGCAAAGGGACTTAAGAACAAAGAAAACAAGTAGAGCTAAGGTAGGAAGAGACAAAGGAATGTTGTCAGAAAGTGTCAGTCCCTGTACTTGTTCCCTAAGTGTTTATGAAGGACTTCCTGGGGTGCACGGGAGACTATTAAAAGGTATAACGCAGCTGTTTCTTGTTGTTCCCAGGAATTGGTCCGGCAGCGAGGAGCCCTAGAACGCACAGAGAAGATGGTAGACAAGATGGATCAAGACTTGAAGACCAGCCAGAGGCACATCAACAGCATTAAGAGTGTGTTTGGTGGGTTCGTCAACTATTTCAAATCCAAACCAGCAGAGATCCCAGCTGAACAGAATGGTGTGATCACTCCACAGCCCAATAGCAGGTGAGTTCAGCTTCCTCCATCTAAATATAAAGTAACAGTGGAACCGGGCATGGTGGCACACATCTATAATCCCAGCACTGGGGAGTTTGAGACAGGAGGATTATGTTACAAGTTCAAGACCAGCCTGGGGCTACAAAAGTGAGCACAAGGCCAGCCCAAACTGCATAGTGAGACCCTTTCTCTATCAATAGTCAATAAAATAAAGTAACAGAAGTAGGTTTAGTGTAAATAGACAAAACCTTCAGGCTTATACTTTACTACTTGTAGCGCTTAAACTGGAGATCTAGTTTTTCCCTTTTTCTAGTGTTTTCATCATTGTAACCATAGTGTTTCTTTGATTTTTTAACCTGTTTCTTCATTTAACGCAGAGAAATGATTCATATCCTATGATTACATATGTTGTATAACTATATTTTCTTTTTTTTTTTTTCAGAGAAAAAGTTCTAAGAATTTTATCTAGAAATTCACTCCTTTCATACTATATTTTCTTTTGTCTTTTTCTTTTCCTTTTTTTTTTTTGTCTTTCTGAGATATGGTTTTACTATGCAGATCAGGCTGGCCTTGAACTTACTTTATAGCCTAGGCTGGCCTGAAATTCACAGAGATACTCCTGTCTCAGCCTCCCAAGTGGTAGGATTACAGGCATGTGCCACCACGCCTAGGAGTTGTATAAGTATTTTAATTCTGTAACATAAAGAGGAAGAGACTTTCTTTTTTTTTTTTGAGACTTTTTTTTTAATGAGGCTGAGATTAAACCCAAGGCCTTGTACATGTCTATCACTGAATTCTCTAGAATCCTAGCCCTAGCCCAGGGGAGCTATTTCTTTAAATGCTTAGAGACATAGTAAAATTCATGCCTCTTAAGTGGCGAGATAGTGACTATGTACGTGTATACACACCACCCAGATGAAGATGTAGGATGTTGTTGCGAAGACACTGGGAAACTATTGCAAGTACAGATGAAGGATCCTGTGGGGATTGCAAAAAGAACAGACAGGCAAAGTCTTTGGGAAGCCTAAAGAGAAAACTGCAAGGAAGCCTCAATGCATTAGCCAGAGATATAAGGATTTCTTTGTGCATTGGCTGAGTCATGATCACCTTCATTCCAGATTTTCCTTTTTTTTTTTTTTTTTTTTTTTTTGTATTTTAGGGAAGGGTCTACAGGGTGTTCAGGGTCTCACTACTAGATTAGACTCATAATAATCTGCCTGTTTACAGCCTCCCAAGAGCTGAGATTACAGGCATGTGCCACCATGCCCAGTCTCAGTTGCCCCAGGGAGGGGACCAGCACAGCAGGCCTGGGGATCAAATCCCTGGCCTCTGTGCCTCCTTGCAGTTACTTTAATCCCCTGAGCTATTTGGCTAGCCCCAGTCCAGATTTTCTAGCTCATTTCTAGTTTTAAATACCTGTCACTCTTTTACTCTCAACTGGAGTTAGGTTTTTCTTAGATTGTATTTACGTATAAGTTACATACCCCTCATCCAAAATGCTTGAGACCAGAAGTATTTAGATATAATTATATCTATAATTATTTCATAATTATATATTTGCTGCCAAAGCAAGCACATAAGTTTCACAATTGTATAAGTTATGGAATATGCATTACTAGTTGAACTTCTCTACACAGGAAATTTAAAATCTGAAATGCTCTGAGATCTCAAAGTTTTTGAACGCCAAAATCATGCTACTAAAGGTTCATGTTTTGAATCCTAGCACTTGGAAGGCTGAAAACAAGAGAATCACTACGAGTCTGATCTACACATAGTGAAACCTTGTATACCCTGTATATTTTTTAATATTTTTTTTAAAAAAGAAGAAAAGAAAGTTTCGTATTTTGGGTTAGAGGTATAGCCAAACAGTAGAGCATTTGTCTAGCATACTTGAGGCCCTGTGTTCCATTGGTAGCACTATAAAACAAAGTTTCAGACTTTCAGATTAGGGATTACTCAGCCAGTAGCACAGGAGAAGTTAGAATATTCACTTATTTTGATCTAAGACATCCTGCTTGCACAGAGTCAGAAGCAGAGCAAGCCCTTGGAGGTGTAGGAATCCAGCAGACTTCCACATTCTCTGTGCCTCTTCCTGAGGCTATTTGAGGACTTTACAGTCCTGCTGGAAAAGCATGGGTCTAACAGTAGTTTTTTTATTTTTATTAGTACATGTTTATAGTCCATAATGATTACATTCATTGTGGGAATTGAGACAAGTACATAACAAACCTAATTCCTTTTACAAAATTATAAAATATAATCCATTCTTTTCTTTTTTTAGAGCATCTGGAAAATTCAATCCTTTTTGGACAAATATTATGGTATTTCAGTGACTTGGGCCCCCAGATGCCCAAGGTCACTTAGCTGGCCTAGTCTTCTGTTGATAGATCAACCCCAGTCAGTTGTGGTGTTCTTGCATCACTTAATACCAAGAAAGCAGAACTTTTATTATTCACTCATTCATTTTCAGTGTTGGGGATTAGACTCAGAGTCACACTACCACTGAGAAATGTCCTTAGTTATTTTTTTAAATTCTGAGACAGGCTGTTACTAAATTACTCAGGCTTGAACTTGAAATCTTCCTCTACTTCCTAAGTAGCTGGGATTACAAGCATGTGCCACGACATCTGACACAGATCTTTTAAGTGAAACAACTCACAATAATTTAGCCATTACACAAATGTGCATCACAGTGAATTGGAAATCTTTGTTGAGGAGGCCAATTCAGAAACATTGCATGGTTCCTTCCTTCATGTGTCTTGAATACCCATGTCTGCATATGTCACTTACTGTGACTAAGAGTCAAAGCAGTGAGAACACAGTTCATCTGTTGGTATTGAGAGGCAAATGGCCAACACAGATGCCATGGAGGCCCCACGAAAAGGAAGGGTTGACCTTAGAAGAAAGGGAGGTGGCACAAAGCTGACCTTTTGACATGAAATCATGATTACAGGGTAGTCCACCAGTTGAAATGGGGCTTAGCAGCAAATATATGGCTACCAGGAAAAGGCAGCACTCTGAAGAGCAAAAGCTACATTTCAAAAATACAACAGGATTTCTGGAATAGCACTGTGCAGAGGGAAAGGCAGAAATAAAGAACTGGATGTGAGCCAGTGAGACAGCTTAAAGACTAAGCCCTTACTCAGGCAAACACAGGGACTGGAGTTCGATCCCTGGCACCACATGCCAGGCTGGCCCTGCCCTCGAGTGCCATGAACCAAACACCAAGACCCAGTGGGGCAGTGCATGCCTGTAATCCTAGTGCTGGGGAGGCTGAAAACAGGAGGATCACTACAAGTCCGAGCTGCATGGTGAGACCCTGTACCAAATACATAAATAAATAAAATAAAATAACTGGATGTGATATTGTACTGAAACCCCCAGAGGGGTTTACTGAATCAGATGTTCAGTCTAACCTATCCAGCAATATGATGTAATATGGCACACAGATGCAAAATAAAGACAGAAAGTTCTGCAGGAGCTCTTGAGGAGCTCTGGGATGATCCAGTGTTCTCTGTGGAACAAACGCATCACATTCAAAAGCTCTTGGCTTTTATTAGTATTATTAGTATCAATCAGGGAGGTGGGTGGAAGTCAAGGCAGAATGATAGGAAAAAGAAACTTTGCAGGCATCAGCTCTCATGAGAAATTTTGTTTTTGTTTTGTTTTTGGCAGAACCGGGGATTGAACTCAGACCCTTGCTCCTGCCAGGGAAGTGCTTACTCTACTGAGCCATCTCCCAGGCCCCCCAATAGAGCAATTTTGTATCAGGCACAAAGGCCTCTGATTAACAATATAAAAATAGCTTTTTGCATGCAAGGCTGGCACCTTTACTGCCAGGAAAATATAATTCATTTTTAGTCCCATGGCCTCATCTGAGATGTTATCTTGTGTCTTAGTCCTAGAATCTCACAGGGTCTTGCTCAGGTCCCCATTCGAGCCATCAACATGGGAGTTGTTCTCACCTGTGTGTTGCCACTTTGCTATTAATGGAACCACCAGTGCCTCAGCCAGACTTCAGTCACAGTTTCTTAGCCAATTGAAGGAACATCTGATTCAGTATAGCCAGCTCTGAATAGCCAGATGAATAGGGTTGAATGAGAGGTTAGAGAAAGATCAAGTCAAGGGGCTTTGTTTCTCCAGAGAGTACACTTGATTGTCTCCCACATAGTGCACACCTCTAGTCCTAGCTACTCAGGAGGCTGAGGCAAGAGGATCACTGCTAAGTTGAAGGCCAGCCTGGGCTATGTAGTGAGATTGTCTCAACAAAACAAAACAAATAATCACCCCTCTGGTAAGTATATCATCCCTTAGAGTTGCCCATGTCCTAATCTCCAGGCCCCATGGAGCATCCAATCCTACCTAAACAGAGGCACCTGCCATGCTCCTACAGGTTCAGTGGGGTATCAAGCACAGTCTGATCATCGCTTAAGTCCCATGAGAAATCCCTGTCTATAGTTGAAGTCACCAAGTAAGGTGTTATAGGTCAGGAAGCAAAACCAAATATCTTTTAAAAGGATTTACCATATGTAATGAGAGGGAAAAGACAACAGAAAATTTTCATTGACGAAGTCCAAAATATAAATTCAGGCAAGCATAGTGGTGCACACCTGTAATCTTAGCACTCAGAAGCTTGAAGAAGAAGGATAGCCTCAAGTTCAAGGCCAGTCTGGGCTATAGTGAGTTCAATGCCAGTTTGAATTACACAATGAGACACTGTCTTTAAAAAAAAAAAAGTAGCAGTAGTAGAATACAAGTTTTTTATAATAGAGCTTGAATAATGAGAAAAATGAATTTCTCTCTCTCGCCCTCTCATTCTCTCTCCCTTTTTCCTTCTCCCTCTACCTCTCCCTCATTCCCTCCCTCCTTATTATCTGTACAACAAAAATGGTCATCTGTCTGTAAAGGTCATTTGTTGCTTGTGGCTGTCCAAAAACAAGTGATGGAATTTTAGGTGTATATATTACAATTTTTAAAAATTAGTTTAAAAAAAAAAAAAGATGGTGGTCCAGCTCTGGCCCACAGGTCGTAATTTGCTGAGCCCTAGTCGAAAGTTATCCATTTCGTGGTTTCATCTACTTTTCATTCACCTGGTCCCAAGACTTCTCATGTGTCTATGCAAGGGGCAGTCACTTTAAAACAGTAATCTTGGGGCAGGAGAGATGGCTGAGTAGAGTAAGTGCTGGCCTGAGTTCAATCCCCAGTACTGGGGAAAAAAGAAAAAAAAACAGTAATCTTCCAGAGCTTGCCATGAAGCTGACTATGCTCCCAAGTGGGGCAATGGAAATCCATGCTTTGGTTAGGAGTTTGGCACAAGGGAGGCATTTGATTTTCAGTTCACAGGCAACAGTTGAAAAGACCGATAACACAGTCATACACTTTTTTCCTTTTTAAATGTTTTCTTTTCCTTTTATCCGAAGATTGAAAGAAGCCGTAAGTGTAAGTAAAGAACAAGAAGAAAAATACCAGGCCAGCCACCCAAACCTCAGGAAGCTGGATAATATAGGTGAGTTGGGACCAGTGCACACACATCTACATTTGGTTCCTGAGGGCCCTCTCTATTAGACCTGGAAGGTTGTAGAAGCTGCCTCTCATACAAGGCTCCAGCTGCTGGCATGCCATGTACTGCTTAAAGAGCCATGTGTGCTTTTGGAAAACAGGGTGTGTGTTATACGGAGTTCCTTCCTTCCTCTGTCTATTGTGGAGGTTTGGTTAAGGGGTTGGCAACCTGTGTGCCCTTGAAAATGAGCCTACCAGCCATCAGTTCCTACATGATATATCTTTGAGCTATTTTATAGTGAAAAGCCTCTTACAAGAATAACCTCTGTAGGGCCAAGTATGGTGGCACACACCTGTAATCCCAGCACTGGGGAGGCTGAGGCAGAAAGATCACCATGAGTATAAGGCCAGTCTGAACAATATAGCAAGACCCTGTCTCAAAACAAAGAAAAAAAAAACCTCTAATTTGTGATGTGTTGTGTCACTAGGAGAACATGACCATCATATATAAGGGAATGTAAAAAAAAAAAAAAAAAAAAAAAAAAAAACAAGCCCTGGGTGTGGTAGCATATGCCTGTAACCTCAATACTGTGCAGGCTGACACAGGGGAATCACCTTAAGTCTGAGGCAAGCTGGACTTTATAGTGATTTCAAGGCCTGCCTGAACAACATAGCAAGATCTTGTCTCTAAATAAATAAATGGGACCAAGAGATGGCAGGAAGGAAAGGAATGAATGGGAAAGGGAGTAAAAAAAATAATTAAGATGTGTCATGTACATGTACCAACTCCTCACAATGAATGTAATTGTTAGGCACTAATAAAAATAAATAATACACCTATAATCCCAGCACTCAGGAGGCTGAGGCAAGAGGATCACTGCTAAGTTGAAGGCCAGCCTGGGCTATGTAGTGAGATTGTCTCAACAAAACAAAACAAATAATCACCCCTCTGGTAAGTATATCATCCCTTAGAGTTGCCCATGTCCTAATCTCCAGGCCCCATGAGTATGTTAGGTTGTAGACAAGAAAATTTGCAGTTATAGGTAGAATTGTAGTTGCTAATCATTTCTGCTTGATGTGGAGAAATTATTCCATTAGCCAGGCTCAGTGTCTGCACAAAGGTTCTTGTAAGTGGAAAAGGAGGCAGAAGAGAGAGTATTAGAAAGGGATTCAGACCTGGTACACTGCTAGCTATGAAGATCTAGTAAGTGGCCAGCTGCCAAGGAGTGCACGTGAGCTCTAGAAGTTGAAAAAGGCAAAAAGACCAATTCACCCCAAGAGCCTCCAGAAAGAACACAACCCTGCTAATACCTTAAATTTAACCCATTGAGGCCCATTTGGAATTCCAATCTCCAGAACTAAAAGATAAGTTTGTGGTAATTTGTCATAGGCCCAGGAAGAGAGTACTATAACTCCCAACCCAAGGAGGAAAAGAAGCAGCAGCATGGGCAAGATATGCAAGATAAGATATGTCTTGAACTGAATCATTTCATTAATATCAAATGATAAATCCAGAAACATCTTTATCTGGGAAGGAATTTAGGCTCCTAGGGGCTACCATGGATTTTCGAAATCTAAACACATCAAAATGATGCTAGAAACCAAATGCTGATTCTGATAGCCTAGTGGAGGACAGGACACATTCCAGCAACATCAGAATCTACCTTGGATCCTAGCAGTCTGGGAGGTTGAGGCACAAGAATCACAAATTAGAGCCTAGAGTAGGCAATTTAGCAAATTATTGAAATCGTGTCTCAAAAAATAAATATATTAGAGATGTAACTCAGTAGTGCCAAAAAGAACCTACCACATTATTTGTGGTTCATAACAACTGAGGAGAAACCTGATGGAGAAAGAGTCTGAGGTCAGAACAGATTGACATGGGCACAGTTCATTCTACAAAGGTAAGCACCATAGTAGAAAGTAAGAGAAAATAAACTGCAAAGGGCCCAAGAAAACACACATCTGTGCTATACCCTGGAAAAGTGGAATAAGATCCTACACCTAAAAGACACTATTTTAACTCAGTGATGGAACTAAACAAAAAAGGGGATACAGATGAATGTCCATTTTGTATCTGTGTATTCAAAATGGTTAGAATAGATATATAGTTACATTATCTTAATAAGTAGAGGGATTTGTTCTAATAGTGTTTGTAAATAGGATATCATGTCCGAATCTTGTACAGCAAATAACCACTAGGAAGACAGTATGCAATGTGTTAATTATTGAAACTGTCCTACCAATTTGATTTGAAACTGTCTCATTGCTATTTGTTTTTCAATAAAATTATGGAAAAAAAAGTAAACATTAATTACAAGAAAAAAAAATAAAGCAACAACTATTTAGGGGAAAAAAGACACTATTTTAAGGGATTAAAAGTTTTCATTTGTGTGGTGTTAATTTAGGAGACTTTGAGAAAAAAAAAAAAAAAAGATGAGTTAGGAGTCATGGTGCAAACCTTTAATCCCAGCAGTTGGGAGGCTGTGAGTTCAAGGCCAGCCTGGGCTATAAAGTGAGTTCAAGGCCAGCCTAAACTTCATAGTGAGGCCCTGTCTCAAAAAGATAGAAAAAAAAATTTTTTTGATAGACTAGACATGGTAGCACAGACCTATAATCCCAGTACTTGGGAGGCTAAGTGAGTTCAAGGCCAGCCTGGATTATATAAAAGACCCTGTCTTTTTTTAAGAATTTTATTTTATTTGTTTTTTAAGCTATGTTGTTAGCACACAGAACACTTCTTCATTATTTTTTAGAGGAAGGAGCGTATGGCCGTAGGACAGTGTTAATCCAGTGCTCGATTAACATGGGGAAAGCAGCTTTCCCTGCTTGTTTGTTTGTTTTGGTACCAGGAATTGAACTCAGGACCTTGCACTTGCCAGGCAGATGCTTATGCCACTGAGCTACCTCCGCAGCCAAACCCTCTCTCAATAAAAAGAAAAAACTGATATTGTATAAGTAGACTAGTGGTTGGTGCTTGGGTAAATGCAGTTCTGCTTGTTAGTGGGTTCCATATCCACGGGCTCCATATCTGCAGATTCAGTCAGTTCTAAATCCACGATATTGGGCCGGCCAGGTAGCTCAGTGGATTAAAGCGCCTGCTTAGGCAGACACAGGGGCCTGGGGTTCCATCCTGGCCTGCTCTGCCAGCCCCACTTCCAGGGTGCACTGAGCCAGCAAATGAGACTGGGCATGGTGGCACTCGCCTGTAATCCCAGTGGTTGGACGGCTGAAAAACAGGATCACTACAAATCCAATCTGTGTAGTGAGATCCTGTAAACCCTGTACTAAATATATTTTTTAAATAAATAATATTTTTTAAAATCCATGATATTCTAAATGCCATACTAAACATGTAGGTCTATTTATTTTTTTGTATTTTAGGAAAGGATCTACAGGGTTTTCAGGGTCTCACTACTAGATCAGACTCATAGTGACCCGTCTATTTACAGCCTCCCAAGAGCTGGGATAATAGGCTGGTGCCACCACGCCCAGTCTCAATTGCTGTCTCAGCACACCCCAGGGTCAGGAGTGGCACAGGAGGCCTGGGGACCAAACCCCTGGCCCATGCACTTGCTTGCAGGTGCTTTAATCCGCTGAGCTATTTGGCCGGCCCTTGCTTAGATAGGTTTATTTTTGTGTGTGTGCCATTCTAAACATAATCAACTTTTTAATTCTTGCCATCAGTTCTGAAACCATGCCATTTAGCAACTATTTACATGACACATATGGTATTATATATTATTACGAGTAATCGAGAGATAATTTAAAGTATATAGGAAGATGTACATGGGTTATATGCATAAGAAGCTTAGGCATCCTTATATTTGTATATCCAAGGATGATCCTGGAACCAATTTCCCTAGGCTACAGACTGCACTAAATCTAGAAAGATATTTCCTCAAAAAGAGGTAAATTGGGATAGCAGAGCTTTCTTGTCTGTGTATGGAAACTGAAGTTCAGGGAACATTTTGGGGGTCAAATGTGTTACTACTTACCATTTCTACTTTGTTTAAGTGAAAAGATAGCCTAGTAATATATTTCTAGGAGACTGAGGTTATAGCTCAGTGGTAGAGCACTTGCCTCGTGTGAGCAAGGTCTTGGGTTTGACACACAGGGAGAAAGAGAATTTCAAAAGAATGAAAACTCATCCCTATCCTAAACATAACAACTTTTTTGTTAGACATGGTGGCACAC